GTTCAGAAATTAGGCAACGCAATGAAGGCTCATTGATCATTGATCGACAGTCGACAATCAGAGATTAGTGATCAGAGATCATTGATCAGTGCTCACTGATCATGTGATCCACTTGTTATACAGCAGTCAAACTCGCTGAGTGATCAGCTCACTTTTAATGGCCGGGAATGCCATTTTGTGTGTAATCAAAATGGCAAGCACTCTGTGTCTCTCCCTCTCTCTCTCTCTATCTGCCTGTCTCTCTCTGTAATTGGCCCAAGAACTTTCCCCGCCCTCAATTATATAATCATCTCATTAGCGTGTGCGATAGAAAGAGATGGCATTAATCATTGATTGCTTTCCCATTTGCATAAGCTAACAATGCCTCTATTCTCCACTCCTCTCCGTCCGATCTTTCTGCCTTGCTGTCGATCCACTCGATCGTAGATCATTAGTGAAAGCTTGCCATTCGATCATCGTTCAGCTTTCGAGAGATCTTGACTGCTCCCAATCTATATATGCGAGTTATATAAATCCAAATGCATTTGATACTCACGGGGAGTGGGGGCTGGGCCGGGGCAGCTAGCTATAAAAATCTAGCGGCACAACAATGGCAACAATATGAAACATATGTCAACATTTCATTTGTTATTCAAATCCATAAACCAAAACGAAACTGTTCGCAGCTGTTTCAACTGACAGCCGCCCCCTCTCCCCCCTGCGACGCCATGCGGCTGACAAGTTTTGCTCGTAAAAATCGTTAAAAATCGGTTAAATTTATTTTGGAACAATGGCGTTTAATTCGAGACAGCCAAAGCGTGAATTATGATCGGAGCTCATCATCGCGATTATCAACAGATCTTTCGTCATCTAAGATCGGTTTCATCTTCTACTCATTTCGCCGAACCGCAGAGGGCGGCCCATAAAATTGACGACAAAGCGAGCCACAAAAGCCATTCCACATATTTTGCATAAATTAAGTTGGCCAAACTCCCGCCCCTCCGTCCGCTTCCTCCTGCTCCGCCTAATATGCATAAATAGCTAACAAAGTTTTATTGCTCTGCATCGACTTATAAATCTGCAAAAGGCACATGCTTAACTACATACATAGACTATACATAAATATATCTAGATATTTATATATTTTTATTTATCTTTTGCATTTATAAACTTTGCCTTAGATTTGATTTCCTCAATTTTTACACATATTCAAATTATTTTTTTATGCTAAGCACAAAAGTTGTAAAATGTTGATGGCAATTTTATGAACATTATTTTGTTGTTCGCTTTGTGTGTGTGTGTGCGTGTGGGCGTGGCTTAGGCGCTTAGAGCTGCTGACTTGCCAAGTTGTTGAATTTGCCGGAAATGGCAAAGCTCTCGACTTGACTGATGAGCGAATGGGTAAATTGGATTCATGTTAATTATTGATTGACAGGTGAATTATAAAATCATATCTGAGTCACTGCATGACATTAAGAATATTTATAGCGAAATATGAATCAGCTGTTGATCATCTCAGCAGCACAAACTATGCAGCTGTAGCATAAGATAACTAAGATAATGCATTCACTCTATTCACTCCAACTGCAACAAGTTGGCAGCTCTGTTTTAATACCTAAAGGTCTCGAAGCAAGCCATAAATATGTGAAGACTTACGAGTGAGAAACGTGCTAATTTAGGAACGTAATTTAATGGGACGTACAGAATGATAGATA